ATAAAGTCTAGTTTATTCTTTTGTCGCGATGGCTTTGGCACCATATTAAGAAACCAGTGCCTGATCTGGGGTCAGAGAGATTGACTCGTATGGCCCTCCTAAGAGTTTTATTGTTTCAGCTCTTCCATGTAGCGCTCTGATCCATTTTGAGTTCCATTGTGTGTGTGTGTGGTAGAGATTTGAACGATTAAAAACTGTTTCTGTCTTTACATAGGACTGAATACACTGTTTTTATTCTTTCTTACTGAGCTGACAATCTGGGTACAGTCAGAAGGTGACTTCTGGAGTGGCAGGTGTCTTTTTTGCAGAGGGGGCTGTTGACAGGAGGAATAATAAGCTAACGTGTGTGGCAGATTTCAGAGATTAGGGTCAGGTCCCAAGCTGCCCAACCCCACCACAGACAGGAGCATTAGTGTAAATCTTCCCCATTTGAAAATGGGTGAGGATTGTACGATGGGTGCCAGGTTCTGTCGTAGAACCATTAGTACGTGTTACAGTAGCCGGAGCTGGTGGGCGTTTCTAATGGGCTTGCTTTCTTTTCTCCTCAGGGGTCTCTCTTTTTGGCTTGTCTGCCCTCTTGCTCCCTGGGAACTTTGAGTCTCATCTGGAACTTGTCAAGTCCTTGTGTCTGGGGCCATCGCTGATCTACACTGCCAAGTTCGCGCTTGCCTTCCCCCTCATGTATCACACCTGGAATGGGATCCGACACTTGGTAAGTTCATTGTTTCCACACTTTCTGGGTGAAGGGAATATAGGGGAATATGGGCTTCTCTCCTTTGCTGCCTGGGTTTAGTGCCGCCCCTAAGGGTAGCTGTCCTGACCTTTGCCCAGGGGCGTCTTGGGAACCTAAACAGGATCAGGATCCCCGTGCGCCCCGCCCCTCGGCAGCCCTGCTGGCGGTGCTGCTGAGCACCAGGTGTAGGCCTGGCAGATGCTCGCTTGGTGTCACTGAGAACTTGTCCATTTTTGTGAGGCACGTTACTGCAAGACACCCCTGGAGCCGAGCCGTCCCTCTGGCAGAGGAGGCATATTTAGTAGACACATAATTAGTTGGTACCTACTGTGTGTCAGGCTCTATTCTCTTCAGTTTACAGTAATAGCTAGACAGTTGCTGATTTCAGTCTTAACATTCCTGTCAATCCAGGGTGACAAGCCCAGCTGGAGGCAAATAGATTAACTTCTGTTATCTTAACATTGGTTTGTGTTAACTGTGGGTTTGTTTGTTTGTTTTTAACTGGAGATAAGGGGGGAGTGCTTTCTTTTTCCTTTTTTTAAAAATTTTATTATTTTTTAATGTTTTATTTATTTCTGATAGAGTGTGAGCAGGGGAGGGTCAGAGAAAGAGAGAGACACAGAATCTGAAGCAGGCTCCAGGCTCTGACCTGTCAGCACAGAGCCGGACATGGGGCTCGAACCCACGAACCGTGAGATCATGACCTGAGCCGAAGTCGGATGCTTAACTGACTGAGCCACCCAGGCACCCCTTTCTTTTTCTTTTTTTAATGTTTATTTTTGAGAGGGGGAGAGAGAGAGACAGGAGTGCAAGTCGGGGACGGGTAGAAAGAAGGAGATACAGAATCTGAAGCAGGCTCCAGGTTCTGAGCTAGCTGTCAGCCCAGAGCCCAATGCGGGTCTCGAACCCACAAAGCATGGGATCATGACCTGAGCTACAGTTGGCCGCCCAACCGACTGAGCCACACAGGCACCCCAACTGTATTTGGGTTTTGTTGAGCTCTTGGAGAGAATGGGGCCACCTTTAACAGCAGCTGAGTACCTAGGATCCCAGATTTTAATATTGGGGTTAAACATGTTTTGATGGCCTAAAAATTGTTGCCTCCTACAAGACCTTTGGGTCAGTTCAAATCTAGTGTCTCCTCCTCTTTATAAAGGGATTAAAGCTTAATCATGGCTGCCCCAGGTCAGAGATCAGTCCTTCCTCCAGCATTGTAAGATTTTGTGGTCTCCCTACCCCTAGTCTGGCTTTCTTTCCCAGGCAGACAGTTATGATTCCATTGTTTCTCATCTTCCTTTCCTCCTGAACTTGAGTCACCTGCCAGATGGATACTTCTGCCTTAATCTGACCTTTAAACCTGCACATCAGAGTCTAGAGACGAGCACTTCCTGAATTTCAGTCTGGTCCAAAAGACAGTTTAATGGAATCAGAAAAGTGAGAGACTAAATGGCCTATTTAATTAAGTGCATCTATCAACCGTTCCCCTGGGCAGTGTTCAGTTTGATTCACAATGACTTCACTGCCCTCCGGGAGGGGACAGAGCTGGAAGGCACTTCCATTAATGACTTCTTATCCCACCAAACAAATCTCTCTAAGGAAAGTCAGCTGATGAGCTTCCTCTGTTCACATCCTGGCCCTGGCGGGGTTTGCCATTTATCTACTCTTGTCGCAGTAAGAGGGGAGGTAAGGGGAAGAGGTTTTGCAAAACCTCAGATTGCAGTCAAGGTTTTTCTGCCCTGGTTCCCGCCTGTAATGGTAATCTCTTTGTTGACAGAAGTGGGGAGCCCAAAGGCTTTTCTTAAGCCCTTAAATCTGCTTTTATTTTTTTTCTTGTGGCGAGTACTGGCTCTGAGTGTGGGACAGGATTTGATCTGCTCTCCGCGACAGCCCTAGTTCTGGCCCTCTGAGCCCGATCACTGCCTTCCCCGAAGACCTGATGGGCATGGGCAGCGGCATTGATGTAGAAGACTGAGAAATGCCAGGGTCTCTGGCGCTCTGGGGAGTATCCCCCCACCACTACCAGCCAGTAGTACTCCTTTTCTTCTTTGGTAAAACGCTGTTCCTGTAGAAGCAAAACAGCTCTGTGTGGAATCTACCTGACTCCTCATCTGATCCATGGAGAGGCCTGATTCCCACTCCCCGCCCGCACACCGTGGGCTCTCCCGGGCCTTTCCCCGAAGTGCCCCTGACTTCGTCAGCTTAACCCAGAGTATGGGCAGCCAAATGTGGAAGGTGTGGAACCTAGAAATTCTGCTCTTGCCCTAGGGGATCTTTTAGTGACTTAGAGTACAATATGTGTGTGTCCCTGGGGTGCAGGAGACTCTAGATCAGTGGTTTTTAAACCCTGGTTTTTATATCGGTGGGTAGAAAATCAGGTTAGTGGGTTATTACCAACAAAACCAGAAATTTAGGGGTGCCCAGCTGGCTCAGTCGGTGGAGAGTGCAACTCTTGATCTTAGGGTCTTGGGTTCAAGCCCCACATTGGGCATAGAGATTACTTAAAAAAAATACCAGAAATTTAGTAGGACACAGCATACAGAACGCAGCACACATGGTAATGGTAAATGTTACTTATTCTTTCACGAACTTTTGTTATAAATACACTGGCAAACAGAATTGAGAAGCCGTGGTCTAGATCCCAGAGTATTTTCTTGGAATACTGGTTCTCTGATGGACATGACTTCTCAGCGGGGGTCCTGTGAGCAACTGTATCTCAGAAATCACGTAAAGCCCATCCCTGTTTTGGAGCCTCACAGTGTACGTGAATACGTTCTTTCAGAAGTCTTGCAGCTAAATATTCCCCAAATTTATTTAACCGTCGAACTTTTCTCCCCCGTGTAGTAAGTTTCAGCATGCTGAGGAACTAGGTTGTGGAGGGACATGCTTGGGGAAACACTGACTTGGCAGTGGTGTCATGAGGGAAAGTTCTATCTCTTTAGTCTGAAAGCTTCTGTATATAGAGGCCGAGGACGCCTTTCTTGTCCCTGGGGTGCCGTGTCACGGGCTTTGAGAGAGGTGGAGGTGGGGGGTGAGCGAAGTGCTTTCCCCTAGAGCTGCGCTGAGGGCGGCCATCACCCAGGACATGGAGCTGCTTTCTCAGAAAGGGCCGTACCCAGGTCCCCGATTGCTGACATCCTCTCTTGCTTTCTTCTTCCTCTCCTTTTTGTTTCTTCTTTTTTCTGCAGGTGTGGGACCTCGGCAAAGGCCTGAAGATCCCGCAGCTGTACCAGTCTGGCGTGGCTGTGCTGGTCCTTACCGTGCTGTCCTCTGTAGGCCTGGCAGCCATGTGAAGAGCTGAGGCTCCCAGCACCGTCTTCCCATAAATGATTCACTAACCTGTCTTCCTGTCTGTGACTCTCTTCTCCAGCCCAGGCGAAGTTCGCCTGATTTATTAGGCCCTTTTGTGCTTGCACGTCCCCTTGGAGCTGGGTAGTGGTAGAGTACCTTACAGAGCCGCGGCGGTGGGGAAGAGTCCAGGTTCCCCCTTGTTTCTGAAGATGGAATGACTCAAAAATTCCCTTTTCCTGCCCCCAGCTTGCAGCCTACTCCAGGCCTAGGAGCCCTCATTCTCTGTCCATATTGGGCCTTGATTTGTGCTGACGGTCAGCTTTTGGCTCCTTCTTCCTGAGACAGTGGAAACAATGCCAGCTCTGTGGCCTCTGCCCCGGGGACCGGGAGCGGGGCTGTGGGTGCCGCCGCCTGTGGGTTGCTGGCTTAAAGGACAGTTCTGTTCACTGGTCAGGGCCCAGGGTCTTCGGCGCCCACACAGCATGACTGAGAGCAGAGGGGTGGGGGTGACGGGGAATTAGCCTGTCCCAGCCGGAGGGAGACAGAGTCAGTTGACTTTTGAAGCGGGTGCTCTGGGGAGAAGATAACACAGCTCTTGATGCAGAAGGAAGACCCAGAAAGTTATCATTGAACCTATTAAATCGCCCCCCCCCCACCGCATTTCTGGAAAAACGAGCCTCTTTTCTAATCCAAGTTCATGAGACATCTTATTTTAAAACTGAATTAAAGTAATCATTTTGTCTTTGACTCGCCTTGAAATCGAGAGAAGCCCAGAGAGCGGCAGGTGGGGAGGAGCCGGTTTCTTCCCCGCTCCCTCCGCTCTCAGGCGGCCACATCCCCCAGGCTGACCCCTCACACGAGGGAGACTGCTCGTCCTGCAGCCCACCCTGGAAGAGTCTTTAGGGAATCAAATGCAAGTAGCCAGAGATCGAATATCATACAGAAGCCTCAGAGACCAAGGGGGCAGGAGGAAGGAAGTTTAGCATATGGAGGCTTTGTGTTTTCTCAGCTTCCAGAATCCCAGCAAGAAGTGCTTATAAACCTCCTGGTGCCGCTCGGCACCCTGGGAGCCAAGAAGGGAGCCGGAGCGCCAGCCAGGTGGCGGCTGAGGAATGATGAGCTGAGCACACAGATGGGACAGAACGGGGGTCAAAGACCAGACAGGAGGGATTGGTGAAAATGTGTAATTTAATGGCAAGACTTGCTGCTTTGAAAATCCACGTGAGCCAGGCTCATGGGTCCCTAACTCCCGTGGCAGGAGCGCTGTTTGGATGCTCTTTGGGAACACACGGGTACCAGATCTGTGTTGTCTGTCTCACTTATTGGCCAGCCGGTTACCCTGAGAGTTGGAGGAAGAACAGGGACTGGGACCGGTGGCCGTTGGGCAGAAAGACCTCACTGCAGCTAGGACCGTGGGGACCGGCTGCCCCAAGAGCCCCACTCCCGGCTCCCCGGTGGCCTTTGGCTTTCCACGCTGATCGCTTCTCCCTCTTTGCCCAGCGAGTCCCGAAGTGTCTTTGTAGTCTTCCTCCCACTTAAACTGTATGTCCTTGTCCTTGGAGTGAGGGACGAGTGTCCATGAGGGAACGCTTTGGCATTGGAACTGGGAGAGGTTTGGCAAGGAGATCGCGTTGAACGGCCAGCACCGGGACGATGCAGGACAGAATGCTAAGCAGGTGTCGGAAGCCGGGACGTGGATCTTAACTTGTTTGGTGGCTTCTCACCATTCAGCCGATTGGGGTTGGGGTACAGTGGCCATCGTGCCCTCAGTCCCTACTTGCCGTCTCTCTGTTTTTCTTCTCTGTCTTCTACCCACTTCTGTATCTTCAGTTTTCAAACTGTGTAGTTTGCTTGAGTTTTACCTTTATAACTAACTCTCCAGATTGTCTTGCCTGCGTGCTTGCGTCCTGAGGGGTGAAGTCTTACCCCAGGGTGGTGTCTTCTGCCTTTGTCCGACTTTCCTTACCGTTTCTCCCCCCACCTTCTCCAGACACGCGCATGCGTGCTCTACTCCACAGCTGTACCTCAGACCCAGAAGCTGTAGTGAGAATGCTCAGGGTGAAAAGTGAGGGCGTGGCAGTGAGGGACTGGGGATTTGAGATTTCTTTTGCTACGGTTCAGACCAACTTCCTCTCGGTCACTTTTGGAGTGTATCTGACTCAGCCCTTGTAAAAACGTGTTCCACCTGAAGCCACTGTCATGTTCTTTTTCCTACTCTGTTTCCCCCAACCCTCCTCCTCGTTATGGGTTGCTTACCAGTTATCGGTTGGTTACGAGCCATAACAGGAGGAAAACGGAAAACGTCCAAATCAGTAAAATATTCCACAAACGATGTTCATATTCCACATTCACCTTTATTCCCACCCTGTGATGTCCCCGTTCTACCTTCCCCACCGGGGGTCTTGCTACTTCACTCAGTCTCTAGGCGGCTTTCCTCAGGGTGGCCCCTTGGTGCCTCCGGACTTCCGGGTGTGAACTTCGGGACCTCAGCTGAGTTAGGGCAAGCGCGGGGTTCCGCCATACACGGGCTTCCAAGTGGGCTCTTAGGAGAGATGGGTGGGCTTTGGGGGCCTGGAGTGTGACCTGCAGAAGGGTGTGAGCTTTGGGACTGGTCCGGGGAACTGAGGTTTACAGCCAGGGAGCTTGGGATTATGGTGGGACTTGGTGCCTGTTGTACGGTCTTTGTGATCGACTTCCCCAGTTTCCTCTGACTGTCTGGATCATGAGGCTGTCGGGTAGAATGGAAGAGACCATCACGTTTCTGGTCAGGCCTAGGTCATTCCCGGTCCACCTTAGAATTCTAACTCGCTTTCTCCCTGTACCATGGACAGAAGGTCAGATAGGCCAGTGTACACTATGCAGGGTAAAATGTCATTAGCTCATCTTAGGTGTCAGAAGTCGAGCACTTGACCGGCTAAGACAGAGCTGGTTAGAGGCTCCCCCTGCTGGGTTAGTGATGCCATAACAGGCATTTTTGAGGTTGAAAAGAAACACAGATAATAATAGGATTTGAGGTTAGGCAGGAGAAATAGATACCTTGCCGAGGATTTCAGGACAAAGCCCATTGGAAGCCTTGAGCAAATCCGGATTTTTCTGTATCCATTTGGTGAGGGAGGCAGCACTAGCCACTGTACGAGAGGTCAGGGTCACCCGAGCGGGGGGAATCTTCAGAGGCATTTGCCAGGTGCCCATGAAGGATCCCCAAGGACTTGCCTAAAAGGAAGAAGACGCGGTTCTTCAACAGGCTCCTCACTCCCTGTACCTGCCCTCCACCCTTTACCCTCTGGAGGCATGGGAGTGAAATCAGACTGAGAGCACAGCCTCCCCTCCCCTCCTTTACCCCCTTTCTCATTTAGGTTACTCTGGTTTTTTCATCATATTAACTCTGCGGGCCCAAATTAAATCCCATGCCCTTGGCCTAAGTCTGGCAGAGTGCACACTGGATAAGTATCGTCACGTGAAGGTGTTCATGAGTAAGGAATTCTGGGTGCTGAACCTCTGTCGTGCTAGATAAACTGGCTGGAAGTCCGGGGTGGTCATGTCGCAGTGTGAATTAGATGGAACTTTCATTTCCAGACAGTGGCTATGCTAGATTGCAACCCTCTGATCTCGGTTACCCCAGTTCTGTGCCTCAGTTCTTTATTTCCTCAAGAGGACTGGGGATCAGTATCTCACCTTGGAACGGGGCACCGAGGGCAGCAGATGGCCACGATCATTGGCGATAAACTGAGTGTAGCCTTCGTGGGAAGAAATTCTCTGGGGTAGAGGCGAGGAGAGAAGCGTTTGTGAAAATGGAGTGGAAAAGAGAGAAGGTGTCGGAGGGGCTTGCGTTAAGGGCTGAGGGAGAGGAGGGTCTTGGAATTTAGAGCAGGCTCAAGGAATTGGGTGCCAGTCAGTTACAGAGAACACGGGGTAAAGAGAAACTGGCCTTGCGGGAGGCCTGCCCGTGAACATACCTCTTTTGTTGGCTTGGCGGGAGACCAGTTCTGCAGGTACTTGGGTGAGAAAGCTTTCTCATACTGTGGAGAGAAAGACGAGAATCTCTGTGAGGAAATGATAACCAGGCACAGTTTTTGAGAGCAGAGGACCAGAGACCTGAACAACCAACCATGGCAGGCTTCGGCTCCCTGTAGAAGGGATGTACTCTTGGTCTACGTGTGGGCTCTTCAACATGGCGCCCCTAGCCACTTGGGGCTAGTGGACACTTGAAATGTGACTAGTCCGAATGGAGGTGCTTTTGTAAACAGAAAATACAATGAAGACCACACAAAAAAAGAGAATGTAAACATAACTTAAAATATTGGTTAAACGTTAAAATAATATTTTGGACTTACTGGGTTAAGTATGTCATTAAAATTAATTTTATTTTTGCCTGGGTGGCCCCGTTGAGAATCCTACTCTTGATTTCAGCTCAGGTCATGATCTCATGGTTCATGGGATGGAGCCCTGGGTTGGGCTCTGTGCTGAGTGTGCAGCCCCTCCTTGGGATTCCCTCTCTCTCTCCCTCTCTCTCTCTCTCTGCCTTTCCCCTGGTCGCACATGCACATGCATTCCCTCTCTCAAATAAACTTAAAAAGTTAATTTTATTTCTTCTTATTTTTTTTCATATAGCTTCTGGAAAAATTTCAATTGTATTTGTGACTCACGTTGTCTTTTTATTGGGGAATCCTGGTCTAGACCAGGGGTCAGCAAACCGGCCCACAGGCCACATCCACCCTCCAGTCTGCCTTGGGATGAACTGAGAAAGCTAAGAATGGTTTTTATAGATGAATATTTCCAATTGATTTGATAAAAGGTAACACTAACTTTATATCCCAATTAAGTGAAATGTTTTCTCATCTCATAAGAATTCCTTTTTTTTTCGGGGCTCCTGGATAGCTTAGTTGGTTAAGCATCCAACTCTTGGTTTCCACTCAGGTGATCTCGAAGTTTCTGAGTTCCAGTCCCGCATTGGGCACTGTGCTGACAGTGCAGAGCCTGCTTGGGATTCCCTCTCTCTCTCTCTCTCTCTCTCTCACTCTCACTCACTCACTCACTCACTCACTGTCCCTACCCCTCTTGCACTGCTTCAGTCTTTCTCAAAATAAATAAACTTAAAAATAAATAAAATCTGGGGCGCCTGGGTGGCTCAGTGGGTTAAGCGGCCGACTTCGGCTTAGATCATGATCTCGCGATTTGTGGGTTCCAGCCCCGCATCGGGCTCTGTGCTGACAGCTGGGAGCCTGGAGCCTGCTTCAGATTCTGTGTCTCCCTCTCTCTCTGACCCTCCCCTGCTCATGCTGTCTGTCTCTCTGTCTCTTTCTCTCTCTCACAGAAATAAATAAAACATTAAAAAATTTTTTTCAAATAAATAAAATCTATGAAAAAAATCTTTTTTTTTCATTAGTATTACCCCAAAAAATGCACTGTTAACTATATTTTCAATTTTGTCAAACATGTTATGGAAAAATATTTTGCTGTTGGAAGTACCTACATGACGACATCTCTGCTTTTGTCACTTGGCCCCAACAATATACTGTTTATCCCTTGGTCCTTTACAGAAAAAAAATACTGGCTGGCCTCTTACTTAGATCCTACAAACTTAACCCTGAAATACCTTTGCCTGTCAGTGAGCCCTCAACTGAGGAACTAAGGAGGTGAAAAATACTCTCACCCCACTTTGAGCTCTTCACTCAATAACCAGAATCCTCTGGGAGGGTCAGTCCAAAGTTCAGATCTGGACGGCAAAATGAAATGTTAGAGATGGAAAAAGAACTTACCTGGTTTGCACTGTAGTTAGTGGCCATGATCCTGCCACTTTTTGCTGTTTACCTTTGTTGCCTGGCAACCGTGGAAGGCGGACCTTCTACTTGTTCTTCACTTTCTTGAATGACACGGCCCCAGCCTTTCCCTTGACACTCAGGCTCATTTTCATTTTAGGGATGTGAGGCACAAAGTAAACATGAAAAAAATCACCTGAATAACTGAAAAGAAATCTTTAAAAAAATATTTTTTAAGTTTATTTATTTTGAGAGAGAGAGCAGGGGAGGGGCAGAGAGAGAGGGAGAGAAAAGGAATCCCAATTAGGGTCCTCACTATCAGTAAGGAGCCTGACAAGGGGCTCAAACCCCTGAAGCAAGAGATCATGACCTGAGTCGAAACCAAGAGCCAGGTATTTTAATTAACTGGGCCACCCAGGAACCCTTCCCCATCCTTTTTAATGTTTGCTTATTTTTGAGAGAGAGCAAGCAGGGTAAGGGCAGAGAGAGGAGGGGACAGAGGATACCAAACAGGCTCCGCGCTGCTGTGAGCACAGAGCTCAGTGTGGGGCCTGAACCCAGGAACAGTGAGCTCAAGACCTGAGCTGAAATCAAGAGTCGGCCATGTAACCGTCTGAGCCCCCCAGGCACCCCTTGGCCCTGTCTGTTTAGTAGCATAACTTACTGTGCTTAGGAACTTAGAGAATTGTCTTTGACTGTGGTCTTTAACCACCTTAACAATCCATGGAACACTAAAAACTGTCGGGGGGGGGGCGGCAGTATGCTGTACACAGACTTGAGAGCCCGACACAGGATTGAGTCCTCACTCCACGTAGTAACATGGGAGCTGTGTGACATTCAACAATTAGCTCTCCTTCTAAACTTTTTTTTTTAATGTTTGTTTATTTTTGAGGGTGTGGGGAGGCAGAAATAGAGGGGTCAGAGGACCTGAAGTGGGCTCTGTGCTGACCGCAGAAAGCCTGATGGGAGGCTCGAACTCACAAACTGAGATCATGGCCTGAGCCAAAGTTGGACGCTTAACTGGCTAAGCCCCCCAGGCGCCCCCCACTTCTAAACTTGTATAGACTCATTTGTATTGTGAAGATAAAAGAGCCTCCCTTTACAGGTACTAGTGAGACTGTGTGGAGGGTCCACTACTTCATTTTCTCAGGCAAAGGACTAATGTTTTAAAAAGTAACTCGGATTTATCCCCAGAAGGAAAAAGCAACTCTTGTCCCTTGTCCTTAAATGACTCCCGTCTCCTCCATCCCTTCCGAATCTCAGGGCTTAAGAACACAGGTGCTTGGTGTTGGCAGGGATGAGGCTGGGGCAGGAGCTGGTGGGGGCAGATCGGGCAGGGGTGCTGAGAAACCCGTGTGATGGAAGGCACCAGGTTTGGAGAGTTAAGTGGTGGTGCCAGGGCACAAACCTAATCTTTGTGGGACTGGGCGAGCCCTCCGAGGCTCCTGTAAAATGGCATTATCGTTGGGGCTCCTGGGTGGCTCAGACGGTTGAGCACCGACTTCAGCTCAGGTCACGATCTCATGGTTCATGGGTTCAAGCCCCGCATCAGGCTCTGTGCTGACAGCTCAGAGCCTGGAGCCTGCTTTAGATTCTGTGTCTCCCTCTCTCTCTGACCCTCCCCTGCTCATGCTGTCTCTCTCTCTCTCTCTCTCTCTCAGAAATAAATAAAACATTAAAAGAATTTTTTTTAATTTTTAAAAATGGCATTATCGTATCCATTTACTGGGTTGTCAGAATTCATGAGAAAGTGGCACTGCCATAATAGTTGGAAAGTCTATTTATACATGAGGTGTTAAGATGAAAGGAAAAAACCAACAAATAAATTGTTGAAAGAAATGATTGAGAACCAAGAGAGCGTAGTAAGGGATAGCTGTCAGTCCCTCCCCCCTCCCCCTCCCGCTTCCCTCCCCCCTCCCCGCCTTCATCCCAAGGCTTCTAGAGTTGGAGGTATAAACAGCCCTGGTTCTGCAGGCTCTGGCAGTTAACCCCAGGGTAACCTGAAGTCTGGAAAGGACGGGTGTGCTCATTCCCTGGGGTGCTCAGCACCCTGGGGTCATAACGCCAATAACCAGGGACTGTGCTCTAGGACATCTGTCGTGGTCCTGAAAGCCACGGTGATGGTTAAGCAGCCGCATTTCTCACGAAACTTCTGCCTTCAGCTGGTTTGCTCTTCTGATAGAGTTGTAATTATCTGATGACTGCATTCTTATTTTTAAAAATTAACTAGTTTATATTTAATGGAAAAAGTCATTACTGGAGGTCGGGGGAGTTCCAGTCTTACAGAAGGATGTCACATTTCCATCTGACTTCAACTCCCAGTCTTGCTTGTCAGAGGCAGTTCCTGTTACTATTGCTGTAGTAACTACTTGGCCATTTAGGTTATGTCCAGCTTTTGCTGTTACAGACATTCTTACATTGAAAATCTGTACATGCATATGTATCTTTATGAACATATAGATATAGATATGATTGGGGCACCCGGGTGGCTCAGTCTGTGAAGTGTCCAACTTCGGCTCAGGTCATGATCTCAGAGTCCATGGGTTCGAGCCCCACGTCAGGCTCTGTGCTGACAGCTCGGAGCCTGGAGCCTGCTTCGGATTCTGTGTCTCCCTCTCTCTCTGCCCCTCCTCTGCTCGCTCTCTATCTCTGTCTCTCAAAGTAAAATAAAAACATAAAAAGAATTAGATATAGATGTATTTATTCTTGTGAACATACATGATTGATTGGATTGATAGTTTCTAAATGTGAATTGGAAAGTCAAAAAGGCTCGTGCATTTAGAGTGCGAGTAGACAGTGTCTACTTGCAAAGACGCCTCCAGTTTGTACATCTTCCGGGCAGTACAGGGGAGGGCCTCATCCTCCACTCTCTCTCCAGCATTACTACTAATGTTTTTCCTGTTTTTGTCAATCTGACAATAATGAGCATAGTTACTATATACCAGCCACGGTTTTAATTGCTTTTTATTACACTTTCTCGCTTGGCTCTCATGGCACCCCTGCCAAGGACACTGGGGCGCACCCAGTAAGGAGCAGAGCCGGGATTTCATCCCAAGTATTCCGATTCCAGAGCCATCAGTTTTAACCATTACACCAGATTATCTCTTAAGTTGGAGGTAAAACAGGATAAATCAGTGGGGCACCTGGGTGGCTCAGTCGGTTGAGTGTCCTACTCTTGGTTTGGGCTCAGGTCATGATCTCACAGGTTGTGAGTTCGAGCCCTCTGTCAGGGTCTGAGCTGGAAGATCAGAGCCTGCTTGGGATTCCCTCTCTCCTTCTCTCTCTGTCCCTCCTCTGCTCCTGCTTATTCTCTCTCTCTCTCTAATTAATAAACTTAAAAATAAAACCATGGTGTATCATTGTTTTAAATTTGCATTTCTTCAATTATGATGTTTTCCATATGTTTATTAGCCTTTTTACTTCTTTTATTTTTTTTCCTGAAAATAACCTCCCATGTCTTTTGCCATTTGCAATTGAGCTGTTGATCATTTTTACTAATCTTGAACTCTTTATATATTAAGAAAATTAGCCCTTTTGTCAAATATGTTGCAAATGTTGCAGACATTTCCTGCCAGTGTGTTTGTTGTTAATTTTTTGTTGTAGCCTTTTTTTTTGCTATGGACAAGTTTTTAATATTTATGTAGTCAAATTCATGACTCTGTGCTTTTGGGTCTTAAGCTTTGAATGGCTTTTTGCAAATTTGAATGTTTAAAAAAAGAATTCACCCATAGTTTCATTTTTTAAATTTATTTTGAGAGACAGAGAGACAGAGAGACCAAGTAAGGGAGGAGCAGAGAGAGAGGGAGAGAATCCCAAAGAGGCTCCACACTGTTAGCACAGAGCCCAACACGGGGCTCAATCCCATAAACCGTGAGATCATGACCCGAGCTGATACCAAGAGTCGGACACTTAGCCAACAGAGCCACCCAGGTGCCCCTACATTTAAATTTTTGTTCCTCCTAGAATTTATTCGGTGACTAGACCGAGATTAGGCTCCAGGTGCCTAACTTGTCTTGGAATCATTCATTGAATGAACTATCGTTTCCCTGCTGACTTGACACGCCACCTTTATTGTATCCCCTAATTTATTTAGGTCTGTCTCTGGACCCTCTACCCTATTGTTCCTGGGGGAGAGGTAACGATTTTAGGTTGTCTCTTTAAAATCCAACCCTGGCTTGACCCTGTGTGACTTCTCCAGTCAGAGTTTCACAAACACTAGGAAATTGTAAATAATAATAGGCAATTTTCAAGCTCCTCATAAATTATACTGAAATTGTAGTCTTTCTTCAGGTTGGTTGACTTCCAGAACAGGTGATGGTCTTTCATTGGACCAAATTTAACCCATAAGGGTCCTACACACAAAAATATGCCTCACAATATTTTCATTGTTTGCTTCAGTTGTCTGGTGCCTGAAATTAGACCTCAGGAAATCTTTCCTTTGGATTGAGATCGCCTGCTGTAGAATTAAAAGTTTGCTTTGTATCTCTAGGTAACGTATAAATTATTTCTAATGGAGGGCAACCACCATCCCGGACCCTGGGATCAAACTGCCCGGCTTAAATTCTGGTCTTGCAAATATGTGACCTTGGACAGTGACTTCATCTTTCTGTGTCTCAGTTTCCTTGTGTGAACTGGGAGTAGGCTTAGTTTTGAGCAGGAGACACACGTAACATGCCCAGGCAGGTGCTGAGGTATAGTGAATGCCTGATAATTTAGTATCATTGGTGGCTCTAGACTGCCCCCTAAAAAGAGGTACCTATTCGGATCACCTTAAACAGAAAATGGAGGACTTTATTATAAAGTTATAGGAGATTTATAACAGATCACAAAAGTAATAAGTATAGTTTGGGCCTTAAAGCGTTCTGGAATGCAGAAGGTAGAACATGGTCAGGAAGAGAGATTGTTTCTCCTCCATCTCTGGTTTTCGCTGGAGTGCTTTCTCCTTCCCTGCAAGCCAGCGTCCCCTCGTTGGCAACCATCATCCTGAAAGAACATTGGCTTTTACCTTTTTTTTTTTTAATTTAAATAATCTCTGCACCCAATGTGGGGCTCAAACTCATGACC